ATGTGTCACCTGGACAACAACTGAAATAAAAGGCGAGAAGCACTTTTCAAGCGCATCGCAAAGCCAGAATTCATTGCGTGTGTTAAAGATGGATATGGAATTATTTGGTCTATTATAAAAGCATTGTTTTTTTTAAGCATGTTAAGGTGGTCTTTTCACTCCTGTCATTTCTATCAAGAAATATGTTTATATTTTTACACTTCTGCTATTTACAATGTATCTTTTTCGTCTGGGTGCATTTAAGGTTCCCCCTTTATTCCTGGCTTTGAGCAATTTGATTATGATGTATCTTGGTGTAGTTTTTGCATGTTTCCTTTTCTGGGAGTTTCTTGTGATTCTTGAATCTGTGGGTTTTTGGACAGTTTCTATTGCTGTGTCTTCAAGATCACAGATCTCTTCTTTCAGAATGTCTAATCTGTGGTTAATCTCACCTAGTGCATTCTTTTCTTTTTTCACCATGAGACACTGTAGTCATCTATTTTTCTATAGATCTTTTTTGAACATATGGAGCATAGATAAAATAATTGTCTTAATATTTTTGGCTGCTAATTCTGACATCTTTGGCAGTTCTTGGTTGGTTTTGACCATTGACTTTTCTCATGGTCGTGTTTTCCTGCTCTTTGTAGGTGTGGTAATTTTGATTGAATGCCAGGCATTGTAGATGTTACCATGTTTGCTGCCAGATACTTTTGTATTCTTATAAGCATCCTTGGGCTTTGTTCTAGAGCACAATTAAGTTGCTTGGAAACTGATCCTTTTGATTCTTGCTTTGTGGATTTGTTAGTTGTAACTGGAGCTAAATTCAGTCCAGGGCTAATTATTTCCCACTACTGAGGCAGGTCTTTTCTGTGTACTCTACCCAATGTATTATGAATCATGAGGTTTTCCAGTCTGGCTGGTGAGACACGATTCCAAGCTTTGTGTGAGCATTAAGCATTGTTATCCATAATCTTTTCAGTACTTTTTCCCCTAGCTTCTACACATTTGTGTATAGATCAGTACTCAGCTAAATAATTGAGGGGGATCCTCTACAGACCTTGGGCTTTTCTTTCCATACTATTCCCTTTCTTCAGGATCTATTGTGCAAACTCCAGCTGCTTTGGTCTCTCCAGACTTTCATATTTATTTCCTTTAGAAATTCCACGAAACTCTTCCTGAGTACTCTCTCTCTCTGCATTGCAGTTTGGAAATTTTCTTAAGATAGAAAGCTGGGGAGATTTTATTTCTTGCCTCTCAGGAATCATTGTTCTTTACTGTTTGATGTACAATGTTTTGAAAATTAATATTTCATATATTTTGTCCAGTTTCTCTTGTTTCAGGCAGGAGGGTAAATCCAATCCTGGCTCCTCCATCTTGGCAAGAAGTGAAAATTCTGGAAGAGATTTTTAATTGGATAAATAATGGAAGTGTTTTGAAGTTGTACAAATTATTTTGTATTCAAGACACTTTGAAGCTTTATTTTATTCCACCAGCAATGGCAATAGATAGACTTTGAAGTTAGATCTATATTTGAGTCTTGGAACTACCATTTAATAGGTATGTGATCTTGGGCAAGGAATTTAACTTCCCTTAGCCTCAGTTGAACCTTTGATAAAATGAGAGTGAAAAAATTCCCTTAAACACAGAGAATTCTATGCAATATTGTGTATTTATAGCAAAAATATTGGCTATAGATTGGGTAATGTTAAAATAAGTCAGAGTTAATCTATAGTTTGTACTTCTGTGTAAATACCTAACATAGTGAGAGATTTATTGTAGTAGGGAAAATGCTAATAACATACTGTTAAGTGCTTAAAGCATTTTGCAGAAAAAAGTGTGATATAAACTGATTTTTAACTTAAAAAATTGTGTTTATGTGAAGAAAACATCAGGAAGGATATTGAGGAGTAGGACTAAGGGACATTAAGAAGCTCCTTTTTTGCGTGGCTGGGTGTGGCTCAGTGGTTGAGCATCGGCCTAGGATCCAGGAGATCACAGTTCGAATCCCCATCAGGGCACATGCTCAGATTGCAGGCTCGATCCCCAGTCGGGAGCCTGCAGAAGGCAGCCGATCAATGATGACTCTCCCATCATTGATGCTTCTTTCTCTCTCTCTCCCTCTCCTTTCCTCTCTCTGAAATCAATAAAGATATATTTAAAACATCAACAACTCTTTAAAAAAATTTTAAAAACAGCTGCATTGAAATAATAATGGATGCATATTAATTTCTTTAGCAATAAAAAAGTGAATAAAAAAAACAAGTAAGGTTCCCGAGAGATAGTAGATGCACTTGGCCCAGTTCACACCATCCATGCTCAATAGCCAGTGAGCACTAGGAGCATCTACGGAGTCAAACAAAGGCTGCCCCCTGCGCCGCAGTGAGGGAGAGCTCAGCCCCCAGGCACCGAGTGCTGCACAAGGGGCCGTGGGGAGGCCCTGCTAGGACGCGGGCTTGTGCGGGGTGGTTCCAAGGAGGGTTTAGGAAGTGAAGGAGACTTCTGTTTTGAGTGTCATCACGAATTCAGTGATTGGATATTTTGGTCGGTTGTACCAAAGAAGGGAGAATAATAAAGCAGATAAAGCAGTAATTGCTAATTTTAGCTTTTTGTTGTTGTTGCCAAGAGTCTTTGTCCCTGTTCTATTGCAGACAGAGTGGCTTTTTCTGTCTTCTTTCATCTCCATCATGGAGTGGCCTTGTCTAGTTATTGCTTACATTCTGTAAAGGCTGTTGACGTTCATTCGAGAACATTATGGCTGAGATGTCAGCCCTCATCGCCCGCTTCTCCATACCATTGACAATTTCCTCTCTCCATTTATATTTTTATTTTGCTGGAGATAAGATGACTCTACCAGTCCCTGGAGTTAATTATGCTTTAATCCTGTGGACTTTACTGCGGCCCCCATATGCTGGAATATTGCTCAGCTGAATAGAAAAAAGGCAATTTGCTGTATATACAGGAGTTTTGTCTTTAGGTTTTCTTACCAGGCTAGTGAAGACTGATTGCTCACCCAGTGATTTCTCCACAAAGAGTGTATAGCTGAGGCCTGTGGGATTAGTACCTGTTCCCCTGGGCACCTGTGGCCCTACGTGCTGAGACAGGATCAAAGATAACAACCTTTATTAGTTCATTTTCTGCTAAAGGAGAGAGGAGCTTCCCAGAGGGGAAAGTTTTCATGTTTGTTGCAAGCCTTTGGAGACTTCTTACTGACTCTATGTGTGTGTGTGTGTGTGTGTGTGTGTGTGTGTGTGTGTGTACTTGCACGCATGTGTGGTGAGGGAATTCTTATAATGTCTGTTGCACCCATGTTGAAATAATCCTTGTGAATGCTCATTACTATTAACACTTATTGGAGGTTTCTTAGTGCCGGGTACTATGATTTCTACTCATTATTTCATCTATCTATTACTAAAAAACAAATTAAAAAATCTCCTGAGATATGTATTATTATGAGAAGCAAGGTTTAAAAGCTTGGTTACTTACAAAGGGACACTGCTGGGGTGTGGCAGGGGTGGGACAGAAACCCCATTCTAAATGACTCTAAATCCTGTGCTCTTAATGGCACATGCAATTAAAGCAGCATTCTGCATGTACAGATACCTGTAGATATTAGGCTCCATCCAGTGTTACTAAATCAGCATCTCCAGGGCTGGGCTATAGTTATTGGCACTTAGAAAAAAATTTTCCCTGGTCATTCAAATGCTGCTCCCCACAGATTTGTAGAGACCACTTGTGTAGGTTACATGCTCACATATCTTGCAGTTGAGAAACTGTCTATCCTATTGGTTTTTCTGTCATCATGCTTGCATTCATTCAATATTTATAGAATACTTACTGCGTCTAAGGCTCTACACCAGATGCTAAAAGGTCATAGAAAACAATGCATTTCAAGAGCTTTATAGATAACAGTGAAGGTCTTTTATGTAAATAAATAACTGAGATAGGAAGTGATAAAATAACATTTATTAATACAAATGAAGTGTTGCAGGCCTTCAGTGGAAGGAGAAATTATTTCCAGGGGGTAGAATGTTGGTGGGAAACAAGTGTTGAGCTGGAAAAACTTCAGGGAGAGAGTGACATTTGAAGTTCTGGTCAGACTTGGGCATATGAAGGGTATTGCTCCCACAGTGTATGTACTGATTAGCTGTATGTGGCTTTAGAACTTTGGAGTAAGCTACCATGTTATGAGAGGGATTAGGGAGAGGGCTACGTGGCAAAGAATTGTGGATTGCCGGTAAGAGCTGGGGGACAGCCAGCGAGAAGGCAGGACTCTCAGTCCTACCACTGCAAGGAGATGAATTATGCCAATAACACAAGGGAGCAATAACACTCATCTGCAGGTCCACCCCAGTTGGGCTTCCAGATGAGTTCCCGTCCTCGTCGACACCTTGATTGTAGCATCTCAGAGGATGCAGTTCAGCAGTGTCTACATTCTTGACCCGTAAAACTGTAAAGTAATGATTGTGTGTGTGTTTTTAAGCCCCTGCATTTGTGGAAATTTGTTATGCAGCAATAGATACAGATTTTAGACTGACAACAATACAGATTTATTTCCCTTTTGAGGACTTTGCAGGACTACGTCTTGTCTTCCTACATAATGCTACAGTAAACATCCTTAAATATATGTCCTTATGGACTGGAACTTTTATTTGTGGAGAACAACTTTCAAGGCTGAAATTCTGGGTTGAAGATTATTTTTGTTTTAAAAAGGTATTTCCAGATTCCTCCTAAAGTTAAGTAACACCTCAATTTTCCATTAACAATATGTGAGAGCATCATTTTCCATACATCACAGCAATTAATAGGCCTTATCATTGATAAAAACTGCAAACTTCTTCTGCAGTTTTTGCCAGACATGTTGGTAGAAAGCAGTTATGTCATTGTGACTTCAATTTGAGCTCGATATTAGTGAAAATGAACAACTATTCCATGGTGTTTTACTTTCTTGTTTTGATTTCTTGAAAATTAGCTTGCTGGTCTGGTTGTTGACAAGCACAGAGAAGTAGAAATTGAGGGTCCATCTAAAAGTACTTCTTCCCAATCCCTTTCAGAGCTTCCTTCACGTCTTGGTTTCTCAGGCTGTAGATGAGCGGGTTTAACATGGGGATCATAATGCTGTAAAACACAGAAGCCATTTTTTCTTGCTCTTGAGACTTGTTGGTCCCGTGGTGCAGATACATGTACGAGAGGGTCCCATAAAAGATAGTGACCGCTGTCAGGTGGGAGGCACAGGTGGAGAAGGCTTTCCTTCTTCCTGCAGCAGAAGATAGCTTCAGGATGGCAGCCAGGATGAATACGTAGGAACAGATGACGACCGACACGGCGAATGTCAAGTTGAACCCCACAAAGACGGTTAGGAGCATGATGTTTAAATCAATGCTGGAGCACGAGAGGGCAAGAACTGGGGGTTCATCACAGAAAAAGTGGTTAATTTTATTGGATTTGCAAAAGTTGAGTGAGAACGTAAGACTTGTATTTACAGAGGCATTTAGGAAACCCAGGAGGTAGGAGCCAACTAAGAGTTGAATGCAGACTCTCTGGGTCATGACCGTTGGATAGTGGAGTGGGGTGCAGATGGCCACGTAACGGTCCACTGCCATCGCAGCAAGGATGTAGCTGTCGCTTGTGGCAAAAGCACCATAGACTAGTAATTGCACCATGCATCCTCTGAATGAGATGGATTTTTCTCTTTCTACAAAGTTTTGCAGCATCTTGGGAGTGATAGCAGAGCTGTAGCAGAGATCAACAAAGGCCAAGTGTTGAAGGAAAAAGTACATAGGGGTGTGAAGGCTGGAATCCGTCTTGATGAGTAGGATCATGCCCGTATTACCCACGAGGGTGGTCACATAGATCACAAGAAATACCGTAAAGAGGATATGCCAAGACTTGTCCTGACCAGCAAATCCCAGGAGAATGAAGTCAGTCACCTGAGTGCTATTGTTTTGTTCCATGACTAACAAAGACTAAGTATCAGTTGAAAAGATACACAGAAAGAAAAGCACAGAAAGCTAAGGTCATTGTGATCCTTGATAATCCTGGAATTGGAAATGCTACAATAATTTGGTTTCATAGTGGGGTCAGAGAATATTTTCTATCACATGATTGACTTATATTTTAAAGGTTGAACCTTGACACCTGACTTAGATAATTTCATCTACAGTTGGGAAGAACTGTCATGGATCAGTAGCTGTGTTCTCAGGGTGCAAATTGATTGGCATTTCATAAATGTATCGATTAGGAAATGTATAAAACATACTTTTATTTAATTATGCTTTCTTTTACGCTCTCAATATTTTCATTAGAAACTTCAATGTGCCTAAATGCTAAATACTGCATCTAAGATCTTGACACACCTGTCGAGTTCTGTATGACCTTGTTCCAGCTTATCTTTGCACTCTCAGTTCATCTTTCCCTCCTGCTTAGTGACTCTTTTCTGCAGTCAAAGACTCACGGATGTGTGGAGTTCTTTATGGAAGTGTTTATCAAAGTATTTATGGTAAAGGGTCATTTTCTTTTTAACATTTCCTGTCCGCTGTGGACCAATTTTTAAAAAGCTATAAAGAGCTCTCAGCGTTGTTAAAATTCTATAATAGTTTTAAATGTTCAACCTCATTTTCTATGGTTATTTCATCATAGAGTGGAAACAGAGTCTAAGGACTGGTGCTGGTTCACGGACCACACATTAAGTAGTATGGTTCATGATGCCCATCCTTCAGAATTTACCTATGTGCCTTCCTAGTGACAGGTAGCAGGTTGCCTACAGCCTGTCTCCACTGCAAATAACTCAGTGTGGGAATTTTTCTACAGTATGTTCCTACAAATGAAATTTTTGAGTCTGAGCGTATGCATACATTTAACTTAACCAAGTTGTCTGAGACCACTTTCCATAATGTATGCACCAATATACATTCCTACAAATTGTATGTGGTGAGGGCAGGGGTTCCCATCTCCTAAATTCCTTGTGAACATTTTCTTAAGTTTTTTTTGGCCAGGAAAAGAGTTGTAAAGTAATATCTCATTTTTATATGCCCCTGCCCCCCATTAATTACAAGTGAACTGGATCATTATCTGATATTCTTAGAATCTTGGGATCCTATTTTTCTGTTAATTGCTGGTCCCCATTTTTGGTCAATGTTCCTATTAGGTTGCTTTTCAGATGTTCTTTGTCCCAGGTTTGAAACTTTATCCCAGATTTGAGTTTCTTGTTAGATGTTGGCTTGGGAAAGAGTTTCTCACGCTCTATCATCTGTTAATTTTGTCTACAATATGCTTTATAGAACTGAAATCCTTAGATTTGAACTAGTAATCCATCACTTTTGCCTTATTGCTCATTCTTTTGAAAAAATAGTTGCATAAAGTTCATTCCTTTCCCTAGTTGATTACCCCAGGAGAATAGAAAGCAGTAATAACAATGTTTTTCTGTTTATACTGCATTGCTGGCACATTGTGTTTGTTGCACCATGAACACTTTATATCATGCCCATAACTTGAAAAATGTTAGTGTGTTTCTAAATATTTATTTTTTATGAAAGCAGGCTAACAGCACAGAGAGAGTATTCAGTGTATGTGTGTCCCTGTGTATGCAAAATATTTAAATATTTTTAAACCATTAAGTGCTTTGACTTGTTAAAAATTTACTCACATAAATACTTGGTCCAACTATGTTATAGGAAAGTTTTTCCAGACATTTATGGAACAGCTAATTCTAATATGCAATCTTTTCCCATAACTGGCAAAACAGAACATTCCCAACTCATTTCATGAGGCTAATATAACCTTGACCACAAAGTAAGTAAAATCTGAGAAAAGAAAATTGAAACCAATGTCACTTGTGGATATAAATGCAAACAGCTTAAAAATACACATCCACAATCAAATCCACCCATGTATGAAAGAAATGATTGCCGGGACCTCAGAGGCATTTCCAGGGAACGGCTATTTTCTTCCATTCCCAGGATTTGAACAAGTTGAGGAGCAAAGATAGTGTCTATATGGAGACCATAACATCACGTTTAGACACTTGGGGAAAGACTTAATTAGTCAAGTTGCCTGCTGCAGTGAACACCGTAACTAGACAGGCCTATTCACCCAGTTTTGGTGGCAGCGACTGGGGGAGGCCTCTTGCACATCTGGGGGGAAGTGCCTCTGGAGTGCAGGGGAACATGGGCTTCAGCAGGCTGGCTAATCCCAAGAGGGCCAGGGCAAAGCTGAGCATGCCAGGTTGTTCTCACATTTGTCAGTCAGCTATGTCACTCCATCTTTCTGGGAACTGAGGGAATACAGTGGGGGAGAGCGAGCCCAAAATTACACAAGTTGGGGTCCCTGTGCAAGAAAGAGTCATCAGAAGCAGGAGAAAATATATTTTCCATCCGCAATCAAGACCAAGTTGTATAAATCTTGTATTTTCTCCCCCAACAATTTATAAATTCAATGTCATTTCACTCAAATGCTAGAAAGAAGAATTTTATGGGCACCTTCACAAGCTTACAACGTTTATATGGAGGAGAAAAGAGCTAAAAATAACTAAGGGAATTTTGGAGGAAAACAAGGCGAGACCTTGTCCTACCAGATATCGGAAGTTATCACAAGGAGGTAACACTGATGACTGTGTGGTCGCAGTGTGAGGGCAGAAAAAGACATCAGTGTAACCGAGAAGAGGAAACTGTGAACAGACCCACAAGTCTGTGGAAGCTTAATATATGGACACGGCAAGTGCACATCAATGAATTATGGTCCATTAAGTGGTGGTGCTACAAATGCCTAAACATGTGAAATAATAATATTGTATTCTTACTTTACATTTTCCAAAGACCAACTCCACATGGATTACAGATTTAAATTGTAAAGCTTTGAGAGTAAAACAGCAGACTATTTATGACTTATGCAAAAATATCGAAACACGACAGGAATGCGCAAAACATAAAACATTGAAAATTCAACTCTCTCTCAATTCAAAACACCAACACTATATAAAAAAGATTGGATATTGACTGGGAACTTATTCAGGCAAATTTGTTTGCAGCACATATAAATGTGAGAGAATCAGGATCCAGTATACATAAATAATTTCTAGAAATTACCCCAAGAGGAAAATTCATAAAGGATATGATCAGGATAATTATGGAAGAGAAAACCTAAATAGCAAAGAACTATGGAAATATACACAGCTCCCTAGCAATCAGGTAATTGTAGATTAATACTGTATTGAAATACAATTTTATACTCAGTCTAAAATGTAAAGTTTTGGTGAGATTGTAGGGCCACATATTTCTGGCGAGAAGGTAAATTAGCACAGTCATGTTGGAGTCAAATTTGGAATAATTAATAAAATTAAGTATATGCTTCCCTATGGTCCAGAATTTGTTATAGGTACATATACTAGAAAAATTTTCATCATGTAAACCATGATACACACACACAGACATGTAAGTGTATGTATGACTATGTATACATATAAATACACACACACAAGAATGTTCATGGCAGCATTGTTCATCATAGAAAAATATAACCAAATCACTGAAAATTCAGTCAATTGATGTTATAAGATATATGTGGACAGATATCTCCAATGGAGTGCTAGTTGCAGAAGTTAGAGGGTAGCTATGTGAATGGTGGTTACATTATTTTAAACGTATCTTTATACACCTGAAATATTGTGTAATAACGGAAATTCCTCACCAAGGAAAAAACCACATCCTCACCACATCGGTCGGGGACTCTTTTACTCTAATGTCAAAAATGGTAGGCAGAGTTGTAGCTCCATGGACGAGACGGTCAGTTTTAGATAAGGGTGCACCTTTATATAGCAAATTATAGCAAATTGAAATATAGCAGATTAAACCTGTGGTTGATGTGGTCTTAATAACATATGCAAATAATACAGTAAAGGCACATAATATCCTTCCTTCCTTCCTTCCTTCCTTCCTTCCTTCCTTCCTTCCTTCCTTCCTTCCTTCC